TTACTAAATGGTGTTCTGAGTAAATGCTTAAATTAAATCAAATTTAATATTGTTTGTAGCATTATAATGACTTTAAAGCATCAATATTTCTTATATTTTTTGCTTTAATAAGTAATTCTTAGGTTTTGGCGCTCCATGAAAGTTTTGTAACATCTTAAAAATTTTGATTAGGGTTTTCACTTAACACAAGAGGTACAAATAAAATAACATTAATTGTGTTAAAATTGATATACTTTTATTCTTAAACAGATATTTAGTTGTTAAAAATGCTATCAATTATTAATCATTTGTAAAGTATTGACTTGTTAGGTATGTTATAGTAAATTTTTATATTTTTTACCTTTTTATATTTTTTAAATTAATCTTTATGAATCCTACTGACTAAAAAAAAACTKATTAGGTTTTAATATTTTAAGTTTAGGTACACCTGTTTACATGTGTTGGATCATAATTACATGTTTGAATAAAATTTGATGGTATATTATATTTCAATTCTTTGTGTGCATACAAATCTRTGCTATAATCATAATAATTAGATAATGRCTCAAACATTTACAGTATAATTTATATATATTGTAATTTTCTTATGCATCTTAATATTAAGTTATTATTTTTTGATTTTAGGATGTTGCTGAAAAATGTAAACTATTGGGTATCACAGCTTTACATATTAAATTGAGAGCTACTGGTGGAAACAAGACAAAAACACCTGGTCCAGGAGCACAATCTGCATTGCGTGCTCTAGCTCGTTCAAGTATGAAAATTGGCAGAATTGAAGATGTTACACCAATTCCCTCAGATTCTACACGTAGGAAGGGTGGTCGTAGAGGTAGACGTTTGTAATTTACCAATTTTTATTTGTATTGCATTATCTGTATTCCACAAATATTAAATTGGATTTCTCTTTAAACAAAGACTTATTTTTTATTCATCACTAATTAATTTTATTAGTTTTCCTAATATTTCCTTTATTTAATATTATAAGACGTATATTATGTCATTATGATAAAAAATATTATTTTTGTTTTAATATCATAGTTGATATTAGATAATAACAGATTTAATTGACTTTTTAAGGTTTTACTGATTGACAAGTTATGTCAAGACATGATTAATATATTATTCTTTATTTTCTCATATTTAGAATCTTTTGTTCTTTAAGAATCATTATTTTTATGATGGGATATTATAAGTTTATTTAAAAACAAACAAAAATTGAATATGTATCCATGTTATGTCTGATGGAACTCATTTAATATATGTATATATATATATATATATATACATATATTTAATATTTACATTTATGGTAATATTTTGTAATTTACTGTAGTAAGTACTGAAGAAAGATAGTTTAAATTTTTAACATATTTTACATTACATGTTTATTACATATAAAAAATTGAAGTGTGAGCTTAGAGGCAAATAACTGTTAAAATAACTATATGTAAGAACTATTAGTTTTAAATTGATGTGTTTAATATTATAGGTTATATTTTTTTAAATTAATATTAGAAAGAGGATTTTTTATGATTAATAAATTTTTTTATTGATTTAAATTCAACGTAGGTGAACAATGGATTCTTTGCAAAATATAATGATAAGATTACAAAATATTTAGAATACATTTTTTGAAGAGTATAGTAAAGTATTATTAATCATAAAAAAAACTTATTTGTTAATTTCTCAAGTTGTAATTATTTCATTGAATGAAAAATATATTATTTATTTAAAGGTTAGATCTCTTCTGATCATTATATGTTGTATAGCGTATATAATCATATAAAATATACACATAAAACGATTTARAGCGAACTCTATCTGTCAACAAATATAAAAATACTTCTAAATAACAAAAATCTCTGTTCTCTGTATGATTCATACATATGTCTATGGTTTAAATATCTAATTTAAACTTTATATATCTATTAAAAAAGACTATATAATTTTAAATTTTTTGGTTATAGTTTAAACAATTATGAGAAATGTTTAAATTGAAAAATCCTCAGCTATAAAATATAATATTTTTAACCAAAAAAAATAAAAATATTTAAACATTTTGGCAAATTATGATTGAGAGAAAA